AAATAAATCTTACGAAAAAAGCGCTCAAGGGAAATCAGGAAAGTCTGAGGGAAGATATAAAACAGGTAATCAGTATAGTCGTAGGGTTATTGAAAGATAGGGTGTTAGCGTGTGATGAACCTGAAAATAAGAAGCGACGCGTGCAAGAAAAAATTACCAAAAAATAGCTACTGTGTTGCTTCCGGCAATATGTATTCCGGGCTAAGTCCCGAACCTTTGTATTTATTTTTACATGTATTAGCGTGAACAAGGTTTCGGCTAATAAAAATTTTCTTGGTAAATTTCGCTTACGGGCCGTGAGGAAAAACACGTGATTTTTTTATTTTGAATATATCACATAATTTGTAAAAAATAATGACAAACACTCACTCCATTGATTCGTTAAGAGAATTAAATGCTAAACTCTTAGCTGAAATTGTAGAGCTTAGAAAGGAGAATGCTGAGATCTCTGATCTTAAAAGGAAGTTAGCCGAGTTTGAATCAGAGAAAGTTGAGCTTAAGGCCAGGCTTGCCGAAGCTCTAAGTCAGGCTGTGGAAGAGAGTAAGAGACGTGATGCTGAGAATGCCGAACTCAAGACTAGAATTGAGGAGTTGGAGAAATGTAAGGTAGATTCTTCAGCCGAGAACGTTAGACGCGATGTTGAGTTTGCTGAGCTAAAGGCCGAAGTAGTGAAACTAGCCGAAGGCACTCAGGCAAGGGATGGCAATGAGAGCAAACAGCCAACCCAAGATATTTCTCCCGAAGTAATTGTCAATGTACCTAGCACTATTATATATCAGTGTAATAAAGGGTTTCAAAGGGACCAGGTCACTTTTCCGCCATCTTGTGTGAGTGATCAGAAGTCATCAGAGGACAGGAAAATGGATACTTTCTTGGATGATGCACATAAGAAAAGTGTTAGTAATGGGATAAGGCAACGTAATAGGGAGAAGAAGTTATTGCATGAATCGAAGTCATCAGATAGTACAGAAACCGTTCTGCCATCTACTTCACTGATGTCGCTAGAAGAATCAATTTCTGGAGAACGGGATTGCATAGTGATCACACCAGATAATTCATCTGAAGTCTCTGAATTTTCGGATTCAAAAATTGTAGAAATACTTCAGGACCAGCAACAGAACAAAGAAGTTCGATCACATAAAAAGAAAGAAGTGGAAAATATCGTGCAAGATGTATTTGATTTCACCGTGGATGAATCTGATAAAAATCTCTTGACAAAATTTTCGCTTACGGGCCGTGAGGAAAATTCAGATGCATTGAATAATATAGCCCGTTTATATGAAGATGCATGTAATGCAGAAGATAAAATGATAAAAGCCAATCAGGCAGAAATTTTATGCTGGTGTAATTTTATTATAGGGCTGGATAAAAGTGTGGATGAAATTATGATTAAAGAAAAGGTGGGTATAAAAAAGGCCAAAGGACAGATTTACAATTTTATTCTTGCACACAATCCTGGTACCAAACGAAATACTTTATATCAACGCATCAATAGAGCCAGGAAGATCTATGAGTTTATCGAAAAAATAGGAATTGATAAAATCAAGTATATCAAAACATATAGCGCGAATTCTATTGCAGAATTATCCGATAATAAAATTCAAACTATTATTGATTACTTCTCCAAGAATCTCAACACTGAATTACCAGATGAACAGGATGACTCTATCATAGATTCCGAAGAGGAGGTTTCTGATGATCAGAATAATGCATCAGAAGCAGTTTCAGCTGAAGTAAACATATCAACCGAACCTATTCTTTTAACACACATCTCTAATTCTTCAGATGATTCCTTAGAATTCGATCCAGTCAATTCGCCCAAAGCTGAGGACGATTTTGGTAAGATGGTCATGGAAGCTTTCGAGGAGAAAGAGGCTAGTCATTCTGTGTCTGCCTCCTGTAATTCGAAATATGAGGTGAATGAGAAAAAAGAATCTTTACCCAAGGAAGAGGTAAGTGTACCCGATAATTCCTTAGATTTTAATTTGGATTCCTCTGATGTTGATGTTGTCGATAATGAAAATGATGACGAATTCTCCGATAACAACGAAGAGGAAGATGATGATGGATTCTGTGGATTTTCTGATGATGATGATGAAGGTTATTATTATGATTTAAATACCGGTGAAACTTATACAAAATCGGAACGTTCAATCTGTGCATATTAATGATTTTCAATACATGCTATTCGTGACCTAATTTATTTATATTAAATATTTTTTCCGATAGTTAGCTACTAGCCCGTAGGGCGACTCTCTGAGTCATGTGACTCTGATGTATAAAAATATCAACCTTATTTTAGCACCTTGTACTAGCGCCGTTAAACTTCATAATCATTCGTGGGTCAATGCAATGACCAGTTAGCGATCCACGATTTATCAGCATTACATAATCTCTCGCTAATTAAACTGAATTAATGTTCATTCTTAGTTTGTGGGGGATGATTTACATGATTATCTTCGAATATATGCTATTAGTAATAAAGAAATGCTAATACCTGATTACATTTATTGTCAAGTTAAAAATCGTTCTCGTATCTTCTCCACTTTACGTGAAATAAATAATGATCGAAACGTAATGCCTATAAAAGATGCAATTTTATCTGTTGAGCACCCTTCTGCAAAATCAAGGTAGCAATTGCAAAAACAAACTTATCAAACTTAGTTTTACTTACCGTAAATCAAAAGTATCTTCACTTATTTTAGCACCTTGTACTTGCTTCGCTAAATATCCACGCCCCACGATTAATTTTCTAATCGGATTTTCTGTGCATAGATGCATCCATTCAACGTTTCGGGAAATATTCTTTTTACGCTTATTTGTTTTTCGTCGTTGCGATGATATACCCTGAAAATATCCACTTGTGTATGGGGTTCATCACCGTGTGGTTCTTCTTATGGGACGTAAAGCAAAAAAATGTCGATGAAATAAACTCTCGTGAAACCAAGATCAACACTACTATCACTGATAGATAACATCCATTTACACCTTTGAGTAGTGGGGAAGGAACTGCCAATATATGGGTTAGGGCTCGGCAGGCTTTCGAGCGGGCATGTTCTTTTATGCCTTTCCTCCCCTGAAACATCCTGCTACTTTCATTTTTTACTTAGCCGGCCGGCCCTTTCTCATACATCATTTTACGATAAAATAGCTTAGAATTGATCTGTTTCTCGAAGAAATAAAGAAATAAAGATAAATTTGACCTTTTAATTATATGCGTACTGAGTACTTTTCTTCGTTGTCTTTGGTTATAATCTAAAACTTAATATATAAAGTGTTTAATATATATGCGTAGTATATATTTGAAGAATACGAACGCGACCACGTGGGATCCGGTTTTTTTCACACTGATTGGTACATCGATATACCCCTTAATCAGATAAATACTAGACGACGCGTACATTAACATTTTCTTTTTAACACTTACTATGAACTCGTGGAATCGCTATTTTGATGAGACTCCCGTTAAAAATTGGTCCACTTTTCAGTTCCATAAAGATTGGATCGATGCTCACAAAAATCAGCCTGAACAACTAACTTATAGCAAGGCTATGGACGCGTTTTTCAAAAGTCTCCGTGCAATCATCAACCGAAGTTCGGATCTCCCGAAAATCTGGAAAGCTAGCGAACTTTTAGTCGGTTGTCAGGCAAGTACTTTCTCCATGTAGGGAATGCCCTCTGCAGTAATATTCTAGTTGACTGCAGTTGTCCACAACAAGGAAGACACAACTTTTAGTTGTCCTTCTGATGATCTTCTAGATCGTTGTGGTTGTGGCATCTATAACAAGGAAGACACAACTTTTAGTTGTCCTTCTGATGATCTTTTAGATCGTTATAGTCGATATATTTAATAGATTTTTTCAGTAGTACGCTAAAAGCATTTTAGATATATTAATAGCATTTTTTCTTTATTTTTATGTCAGGACGAGAATCAACGTAAAACGGGAAGCAACATGGATAATTTATGGCTCGGCGTTGGAAAAACCCGTAAAGAAAAGAATATTAACGCGGGAACGAACTGCATACAGCTTGTTTCTTGCGGAAATGTAGAAATTAACAATGTTAGGGATAAACAGTCATTAGAAGCACCGATAAAAAAAGGATTTAATAAGTTGAAACAGCGATTGGGTATATATGTTATTTAATTTTTTTACAGTGCCTTATTATTTTGCCTTTATTGAATATTACATCAAATAGATTTTGAAACTGAAGATAAGGAGAACACAGTTGGTGGTTCATATAAACGCCGACGTACAGAAGACGGAAATCTAGAACATTCAAATAACGAAAACTTTCTTAATGCTCTAAAAAATAATAATAACGAGAATGAATTGGAAAAACAAGCCGAGGAGACCATCCAGTATAATGGGAAAATGTGGATTGTAGGTAAAACGAAAATCAATGTTCGTGGTGCATTAACGGAATGGCAGAAGCGGATAGGCCGATCGCGCACCGAGTAATTATTTTTAGTAATATGTTTAAAATGCAATATGCTGAGAATATCTGTTGTACTGATAATGGAAAATCTTAGTCTAGTGTTTTATGATATTATAGACCTTACTCCCGGTTCAAATAGTGAATTTATACGATCCCTGTCTATTGACGCAATGTATGAGATGAAGCAGTTTGGATCGGAAGAACAGCAATCTGTTACGGATAATGTGAAAGAGCTAATTATTAAATTTATTAAAGTATATAGAGTTTATTCTTCGTTTCATTATATACAGTATATAATCACATCTATCCGTTGTTTAAAAATTTCTGATTAATTTGATAATATAGGCGGACGACCTTCGCAAGATTGTTGACGAGAGCTATCTAGAAACCCGAAAGGATGATACTTTGAAATTCGTATGGGACTTTGCGAATCTTCTGTAAGAACAATATAAGTCAATTTCGGATTTGTTATTTCCTATGTCTCACATCCAAGTTCTTTTTCACAGTGCGGAATCAATTGAAAGAGACAATGACCTTGCAGACTATGATTTGTCCGAACTAGCGTACCGAGAAATTTTTTTGGCACCTGCTATTCGTAGTTTGTTCCGTGGAATGCATCGGGAGATGTACATCTTTTTGTAAGTATACTTCATAAGTGTGCTTAATCTTGATCTATTTTTAATTGTTTACAATGTATATCCATATAGTGGTGAAAAACAACTATTTGCATCATCTGAAGAACGTAATCTAGAAAAAACCGATAAAGAATCTCGCAAAATTGGAAATAAGGTTGACATGATATGGACTTTAAAGTCAACAGATCTTGAATTTAGCGTTGGTGAAGTTAGTGGACCACCAAACCAGCGCGATCACCCACATTTTTTTGGTGATAAATTAAAGATTGCCATGATGCTGAAAATCATAATTAATAGAATCGTAAGAAAACATGGCGGTGCAGGTACAAAATTAAGTTTGTTAAAATTATATGGGTTACAAATACTGTATATAGTAAGTATTAACGAATTTGAAAATGATTGTACTGCACAAGAATTTTATTAAAACTCTGCTTATATCAGATAACGAAGCAATTGTCTATGAGTTATCGGTACCTTTTCAAGGGTTATATATTTTTCGTGAAGTTCTACGATCAAAATTGCCAACTAATAAGATTGAAGTAGCGTTAATATCACGTACCATACCAACGTTACTCAAGTTCAGGGTTTGTTTTTTTTCCCTTTGTTCTACATCAGCTTATCTTTTATATCTGACAATTCCATTATACGACATTACTAGGAGTTGCTTGAACAGAGTCTAAAAGGTCTAAAAGATTATATTGTAGACGCGTACATTACATCAATAGATTCCGGTGAAAGTGCAAACCAGTTTATCACACCATGCTAAGCAGGACGAAAAAACTAAGTAATCTTATCGTATAGAACAAAACCTATAATAATAATGAAATTTTTTTGTGGAAGAATGAAAGGAGTGAAGAGCTTTACCATTTTATTGTAATTTCATTCTGTAAATAGTGTCCATGTGATAGTGGTGTAGGCAATAGTATAGATTTTATTCTTTCCAATTTTATATAATAAATAAAGCACCAATATCGTTTTGTGATTAAACCTTTGAAAATATCCATGCCCTAAATAAAACAAGTGCTCAATCCACAATTGATACATTAAAGGAATTGAATTCCAGGCCTGTATCCGAAATTGATAAACTTAGAAAATAGGCTGGTCGGTGAAGAGTTATGACGTCGTGGTATACTAAAGAGCGGTTTAAGTACTGCATGGTTAGATGATCTGATAAAAGAATGGAAAGAAATCCATACTCAATTTGTACAAATTTTTATTTGAATATATCCGTATATTTTATAGAGCCTTGCTCATGCTACGCATAAAAATAATACTCTTCTTTATATGATTGATTAAATAGATCACCACCTATATTAATTGGTCGTCCAGATAGTAGATTTATCATTGTTTTTGTCATAAAATATATTTTTTCGGACTTTCATTCTTATTATAAATATCCACACAGAATATGATGAGAATCCAGTCTGTACTAAAAATGAATTCGGATTTAGCTTTGTATATCAAATCAACTATAATAAATCTAATAGATCTAAATCTCCCAAATACGATATAGTCGATAAATATGTCTGGTTTTGATATCGCTACTATTATTGATAAAAAAGATAAAACATTTCCTAAACCATATATTAATCGTCCTGGTTTTGATATGAAGTATGCTGTATCATATATATTACATTATGGTGGAACTTATGCTAATAAACTCAATCAAATTTTCGATAATGAGAGATTATTTGATACATTATCTATCATAAAACAGAATGAAACACCGGTTCAATGGGCAATACGGGTCAGAGTACCTTTACAGAATTTATTAAATGCCGGGAAATTTAGTGTATATCACCGGCTATGTTTATTCGCATCGTTTGGTAAAGGTAAATTTGTCAATTTCAATTATTATAGACCAAGAATCCATAAAAGTCATGTGGCTATTTGTTTTGGTTGCTGGAAACTCGTAAAAATCAATGATGTACAGCCCAAAAAAACATTCCATTTTACTAAACGAAGATATGTTGATTATCTCGTACCTAGTGATTTGATAATCGGTCATTGGGATATGAATGCGACAAACCAAAGACTGATTTCAGAAAAGCAAGGATTATACAAAGAGCTTGGAGAAATTACAAGAATAGACCTGAATCATTAGCCACTCAAGCTTGGAATTCGTTAAGAAATGATAATACTTCTGATAAGAAATTTTTAGGTTTAACGAGACGTAAAATAAAAAATCCTCAGACTCAGGAACAATTTAATCAATGGCGTAGTAAATGAATTGAAATGATCCTATGATGCACAGTTCCATTATTAATAGACAATATGATGAATATTATATTCGGTTAATTGGATAAGTTCTAAAAAGAGTCAATTGCAGGTTAGATTCCAAAAGTGACTTTTAAAAATAGGAGCATAGACTTTATTTCATTATCCTGAGGGTCAGTAACATTTTTTACTTTGATTTTTTTTCATATTAATATGTTTTATGGGACGCAAATAACACTAGTATAGATAATAGATCAGGCTTGATATTATTATTGTGGAGCAATGACTCAAAGAGCCTACATATCCATCTCAATTTCAACACTAGGTTGGATACTGCATCTTCCCAAATTATATAAGAAGTGGTGATAGTATAATGGAACAATCTATCTTTATATTTCATAGAGAACCTTATTATAAATCATCCAGATTTGGAAAGTTGTTAACAATTTGCAATTCAAAGATTAACTCAAGAAAGATTTCAATCTTTTGATACTTCAGATATCTACGAAACTAGAATTTGATCTCTTTTGTTAGGTATATCCAATAATGATGCTCAATTCTTGGTATTTCTTAAAAGTCAATTACCAGGTGAGCTTTTTACTTGGATGAGGTCTGATGCTCCAGTAGATATTAATGAATTTTCATTGCATTAAAAAATATGTGATTAGAACATACTCCAAACCTGTATAAAGAATCAAATTTTGATTAAGCCTCAGCTATTAGGCCAGAGGCTAGCTTTGTAGCTAATATATTACCTACAATTTCTTAGCCAGAAACCAGCTTACACCAATTACAAACTAAATCTATAATACCAGTACAATTTTAACAAAAATAATTTAATTCTGATAATTATTCTAAAGTATCAGATAAATATATACTAGAAAGACTTCCAGATGGGTATAGTGTAAATTCTAAATAATTTATTCATGCTAATATCATAAATTCAATTCCTTCAATCAGTTAAATTAAGGAATCTCTAGCTAATAATCTTTATAAAAAATTGTCTAATATGTTTTCAGTGAAACCAGTGCAATTGAAGAATAAAGATATCAGTATTGATGATATAAATAAAATTATTAAAGATATGTCAAAATTATCATTAAATTTAGCAAAAATGGCAAAAGAGATTAATGCCATTAAGAAATCATCTCAACATCATTGTTCAAATTGTAATAGAACTGGATATAATTCTCACAGGTGTACTCATAAGAAAAGATCTAAGAGCAGATCCAAAAAGAGAGGCAGTATTAATAAGGTTGCTATAGATTCAGGTTTAGATACAAACTCTTCTGATAATGATTCTTTAGATAATAACTCTGATTTTGGAATTCCTTATCTGAGATTGAATCCAATCATAATTATGATATACATATTGTATTTCTAATATATAAAAAAACAAGTAAAGCAGAAGAGTAAATGGGATAAATCATTATCTAAAAAGTCTAGTTCAAAAAAGAGACAGAGTTTCGAATCTCCGATTCAATATTTTTTTACAAAAAATACAAAAGAAATCAGGTATGATTATCAATTTACAAATTCAAAAAATTATTCTAGCTATGTTTAATAATCCAGAGGTTATAGAAATAATTAGAAACAATATTAATAACATGAATTTATCTGTTACAAAATCTGACTTTATAAATTATAAAGAGCTGGTTCCAGAAATACTTGATTTGGATGGGAAGGATGAAATGCTAGATAATCCTATAGAGATAAATTTCATCTATTGAAAAGAACCTGTCACAAGTCTTGCAACTATACCATGTAAAATCAAATGCTTAAAAATTCCAGCATTGATACTCGATAGTGGGGCTGAATCTCCAATTATGTTAGAAGATATTGTTAAACATATAAATTGACTAATTGATAAATCAGAAAAATATAATCTTAGTGATGTTGCAACAGTCCCAACAGAATCTATTGGTATTGCTTGTAATTTCCCAATAATATTTCCTCCAGGTTTTACCATATGTGAAGATTTTGTAGTTGTACATGTTCCTAAACCAATATTGATATTTCCAAACCCACTTCTCAAGAAATATAAATGCACTATAGATTGGAGTAAATATGAGTTGAAAATTCCTTTTAATAGAAAGGATTACATTATTTAGATTACTATACACAAAGTCAAAAATAAACTTGAAGTAAATTATACTATCACATCACAGGATGATAGGGATGGAGTTATATTGCTTTGCAATAAGCCTTTGATATTCGATCAAATTTCTTAAAAGATAAATGATAGTGAGGATAACAATATACCATTCGAAAAGTAGTGTGCTCCTACAGGCTTTAGCTTAGATTCTAACAGTTCAACTTTAAAAAAAAAAGTGTAAATTGTGAGAATAAGTCAAACCATGAAAAAGAACTTGAAAAGGCATTATTCGCCAGTATTCAATCAGTTTCTAAAATAATTAGATATTATAATAATTTGTGCAATCAATATATGTCAGAGACACTAGCTCCACTATAAAACAAAACATTGATTTTATACTTACAAATTTAAAAAATAGATAATTTAAAAGCAAGAATACAACCACTCGTTCTAATTTTTTCTATATCTTTTTGGTTTCTCTTATATAATTCCAAAACATTTTCAGTCTCTTGTGAGGTAACAGATGATGTAGTTTCTTTTTTTGCTTTTAATAATATTACACTTGACTTTTTGGTTAAATTTTTATTAATAGAAGGTTGATTCAAAATATGAACAGATTTGGATTTTATTTTTTTAATCAATGTCTCAATAGCTAAAGATTTCTTGCTTTTAAAATCATTTAAAATAGAAGAGTTATTAAAATCAAAAGGTGATAGAGAATTAAGATCTTATTGTAAATGTTCATTGTGCTTCCATATTTCTCATAAACATAATGAGCACCAATATAAAATTTTTTTGTCATTTTTTTTGATATATTTGGTATTTTTCCTCTTGATTCTCTAATTTCTATATCAGATTCAGATAAATAAATCACATTGGATCAATAAAATTTTTGATGAATATGAGTAAGCATCTTAAGATAGATATATATGTATTAGAAAAAAAAAGTTTCAATAATTTTTCAAAATATATTGATACCTATTGATAAGCATTATATATGAATACATATATATAAATACCTATTGATACCTATTAATATTTAATGATTGATACCTATTGATAACTATTGATATCTATTTTTACCTAATAATTGATGCCTATTGATACCTATTAATATAAATATTAATATATTTTTTTGTTATACATACAGTATATGAGAAAAAATACATGACCAAGTTGCGTACATTGTAAGATACCAAGAGCATAGAGTCCAAAAAAATACAAGAGCAGGGGTATAGGCTTGATAGTACACATGAACAAGAACTTGAAAAGGCATTATGTGATAGTATCAAGTCCAATTCTGAAATTACTAGTAAATATAAAAATATGCAAGTGGTATATTTAAATCATAGCATAAATACTAATAAGGAGAATGATCAATTACATTGCAATAATGAGAAACTCTCCAAGTATGTATATCAATTTATAGATGAGGTTAAGCAATTATGCTCAAA